GGCTTGGAAACCCCTCCAGGGGTGGGGACTCCACCACTGCCCTGGGCAGCCTGGCACAGCCCTGGACAACCATTGCAGGGAAGAAATTGTTCTTTAGGGCCAACCTCAACCTCCCCTGGCACAACTTGAGGCCATTGCCTCTTGTTCTATTATTGTTTGTTAATTGACAAAAGACCCTGACCCCCCCCTGGCTCCAGGCTCCTGTCAGGAGCTGTGCAGAGCCAGAAGGTCTCCCCTGAGCCTCCTTTGCTCCAGGCTCAGCACCCCCAGCTCCCTCAGCTGCTCCTCCCCACACTTGGGCTCTAGACCCTTCCCCAGCAGCTTTGTTGCCCTTCTCTGGCCACGCTCCAGCCCCTCAAGGTCCTGTAATTCATGTAGGTCTGGTGTTTTTCTTGTGTAAGAATAATCATTGGCTTTTTAAGAACAGTAAAGAAAATACATAGGACACTGCTAACTTCAACAGCAGAAAGATGAGGCCGTAAGATTCATGCTGCCTGTATACAGGCTTGGGATATTGTCCCATTTTACAGCTCCTTATGCAGTTTCAGACATAACTTATGTTAGAGCTAACATAGGTTCCAATGTCTGCCAGTCTTGACTTCCTGGAAGTAATCATGCCAGACAGTAGTAATACCAAGGAAACTTATCAATACACAAGCTTTGTTTTGTTGGTGTTAAGTCTATTTCTCACTGGCTGCATACTGAGTTTAACTACCATTTATGCTGAACATAGAAAATGATCATGTATTATTTCTGGTTTTCCAAGCAATAAGATATTTTTGCTGGCAGGTTTTGAAGACGAAGCAATATGTAAATACCATGGAAGTGTTTCCTTTTTATTTTGCCCAGTAAAAACAGAAATTGAAGAGGAAGCACATTCAAATGGCCTCAGAATGCACTGCAGTACTCTCTAGGGTATTTTTAATGAAGTAATATAATCAAGTCCCTGATTCTGTATGCTCTTTTATGTTCATTAAGTCTGTACCTGACTGTTACCATTGCATTCATTCATAAACGAATTGTGAAGGAGAGGAAGTGTATGTGGAATTAAAAACACTATAGAAAATCAGCTTCTTTTTAGAAATTTAAATTGCATACCTAGGCTGTCACTGTTAAGCAGTTCACATATAAGTGGTTTCATCAAAGGACTATTCCAGTGAGTGAAGATCTTCCAGTATTAGCAAGTAGCAGACAATATGACCTTGAATAATACACTATGGAAGTAATGTGTAGTTTATTCAAAATATAAGGGGAAAAATAATCATTGCAGGTAGTCTAACTAGCTACAAACGTGTGCCATCATACTGTGCATAGTTAAGAAAATGAATTAAGCCTCATCAGGGAATTTTGAACCAATTCAGGGGTAGGAAATGCAGGTAAATAAATTGTGTACTGTCATCACATACGCCTCACCTTTCTGTCTCCATTTCTGGTTCACACTCTGACATTTGATTCTGCACCATAGCCACAGCAAGGCTTTTTCAACCCTATAAAAAAAGATAAACCAAAGTAAAGCTGGTGTTCTTCCATGATGTTTCCTAGAATACTTCAGGAATTTTGTTTGCACATATTGGTTTTTCTCTATGTTCATCTTTTGAAAGATCTGATAGAAGACACTTGGGCAACCAGGTCTCCATGCTAGATGTCTGGATGAATTTTGTTTAGTGGTCCTAGCCAAGGAATGCGTGTAGACTAAGAGCACAAATTTTAACATATATTGAGATTTATCTTCTCGCATTATGACACCAGAGAGACAGTCATTAAAAACAATCCCACAAGCAAACCAGGCTGCCAGGTAGGATGGATTGGGGAAGGCGAAGCAAAGTTGACCTTCTGAAGCCAAAATTGTACCTGTGAGCTCCTTCCAGAATTGAAGGGCTTGCCTGGAGCGAGGCTGCCTCGCTTGGGGTGTTTGCAGGGCTTTTACAGGCCACCAGAGAGAAATTTGGGCTGTCTGCAACTCCATTGCTCTACGCAGTACTTGACAGACTTTAAAGAACATAGTCTTGACCAGTCCACAACTTTCTCTCCAAAAAATTTTCAAAATGTTTATAATTTAGTGGGATTTTCATGTAGTTTCTCATTTATCTTCATCCTATGGCTATGTTGAGTCCAGATTCTGCTTTACTTTGGCTGCCAGCTCTTTTTGAAGTCCATCATAAAAACTTCCATGGTAACATGCCTTAGTATAACATGCAAATGCATTGGCCCCTGGAGCATCCTTTCAGACTAGAAGGATTAATAAATAGAATGTTTCTCTGCTGCCACTGGGGTGGAAGATGTAATAGAGTCAGTATTCCTTAAGCAATATGGTTTTCTATTTAAAAGAGAAATACATTGTAAAGAATTCCATCAAACTGGTATAGCTTCAGCTGCCCTTTGGCAAGAAATTCACATGCTTATTTAATTTAAATGTTACCTGTTTACTTGGCTTTTCTAAGATAGAATAATTCCCTTCCTCTTTTTGTGATAGAGATAGTTGTATAACAATGTTCATATAAGACTGAGTTGTGTTTTGAAGGTGTATTTTCATTCTCTTTTTCTAATACTTTAATTTACAGTTCTGGAATAGTAACATAAACTTGAAAAGTCTATGGTTCGAATGGGGTCATCTTAATTCCTTAAAACATTCTTTTCCTAGATGAAAACCATGAACTAAGTTCTTGAAATATGATGTATTTCCTAAATCTTGTATAATTTGATGTAATCTATGTGTTTCTTGGGGACTGTTCATATCAAGATTTAAATTTTTTTTCCTCGTCCTTTTATAGAATGCTTTAAACTATTTTTAAGATTTAGGAATGTGCTTAAAAAGTTTCAGTTGTCCCTGGGAAAAATAGTCTTAATTTATGTTGACCTTTCTTTCCTTTGAGCATTTAGCCTGCATTCAATAAAATTTTGATGACTGCTCTTTAGCAGACAGCTGTACGATATAAAGTATTATAAATATTCAGCTTTCCTCTTCTAGCGTTGCCATTAACAGCTGGGCATCCAGTTCAGCAGAGCAGATTTTGCAGAGAGAGCTTGGCATGTTCCTGAATCAGTATAGTGAAGAAGACTGGCAAATAGTTTCTTATGGTTTGGGGACCTGTAAAGACATAGAGCATCTGTTCCCCAGTTAAGTCATAGTCTGGTAGCACTGAATCATGTTAAGAGCTAAAATGATGGGAAGAAGTACTTTTTTCACCTTGGCTGTACCTGTGTTTGAAATGCCTAATTCCTGATTTCTACTAATGGCAAAATAATTCCAACCCTTGCTCAGAAGGTATGTAAATGATAATGCTTTTGTGTTTTGTCATTGGTTATAGTCTTTGAGAGGGACAGATACACCGTGTGATTTCACTTCAGTGCCTTGGGCTTCAGCTCTAATATAAAATGGAGAATTGGATTTTCTTCTGCAAATATTTCATGCTTCTAAACAAGCAACATTTTTGTTACACAGTGTTTTAATCAGTTAATGCATTTGCTTTGGATGAGATTGGTTTTCTTGTGTAGCATATTAAAAAAAGTGAAACATGAGAAAGGAAAATGTCTTTAAAATTACAGACCTTACTACCAGAAATCTGTGTGTCTAGATGACCATAAAACTTGTCCTTTTTTTTTTTTCTCTTGCAGAGTTAAAAGAGCATTAAAGTTGGACACTGTTAAAAGAGATAATGTAAGTATTTTTTGGTGTATGGGATCATCTGGGCTGTATGTATGTGTGTGTGTATAGATCTATTCACACACGGGCATATATAAGTGATATTTCATTGTGACAGGTTGGATGTTGGCCAGAAAAATCTTAACAAGGCACAAAATTGCTGCTGAAAATATTAGTATAAAATTTATTGTATTCCATTTGTCATAGAACTGCTTGGCTTTAAGCAGTGTACATCTGTGTGAATCACTTGAAAATAAGGGAGAAATATGCATATTTTTTTATTGCCAGCACTATTTACCCAAGAGCTGAATGAGATAAGATCCTTGGTGAAATCATTTATTAGAAATTAGCTCTGTTATCCTAAAAGTGAATGTTCTGCCATGTAATTGTACATGTAACAATATGGAATTATGATAATGCTGTAATCTGCATATTATAAACCACAAAATCGAAATGAAAACATTAAAGGCATTTTCACATCAAGGATGTAATTACCTCCCTCAGCTAATCTGGCATAATGAAACAATAAACTACTAACACTGCCATAAATTTCACCACAGTTATCACAATAAAAATAAAATTGTACTGTTGCTATTATTTTTTGTAAATGCAGCTACAGCGTACTCCCAGCACCAGCATGTCGTGACATATGTCAGTTTATTATCAACAGTGGGTGTTGCTGCAGACATCAATACAGAGGAGCTCCTGAGGATGGTGGTTTTTAAAGGAAGGAAAATTTGGGGAAAGTATATAGAGAGAAATAGCTGGTCAGCAAATCACCTCCCCATAAATCTTCACGTCAGTGTCATTTTGAAGAGATTTGTTTACATGCAGCACATATTTGGGGGGGTCTCACTGCTATTTAGCAAAACAGAAATTTGCAATTTAAAAAAAAAAATATTCCAGCCACTTTTTTTATTTTTTTTTTTTTAAATTTAAACAAAGGTGGCAAAATACCGCAGTGGCACTAAAAAAAATCATTAGCAATTTAATTAGCAGCTTAGTGTACCATTACCCAACTTGTTCTGCTCGGGATGCAGCTGTGACTGTAATTTTGCATCTGCTTCTTGGGCTGTAGTAACATTTTTTTGTAGATGAGTGGTCCAGCTAAAATTACACACAATTCTTTTACTGCCTCAAAGCTATTCCTTCCCTGCCCCCTCCCCATAAGCTAAAGAGTTACTTGGTGGTTACCTGCATTCAGGTTCTTGGGCTGTTGTTAAGCTTTTTGTTGCACATCTGAATGATATAAAACTTTTGGTGAAATCTCAGCAATGTGGGTTTACATGATGATTTTTGGTTCATATGATGTCTCTTAACAGATCCATGTCAAAGATTTAAAGTGTACCTTAATTAAATAACTATAGAAGGTAGGAAGGATTGTGAGGTACTAAACACACGTGGTTTGGGTGAGGTATCTGGTTGAGCTCTGCTGCATCCATTGCTGTTTCTGCTGTTTCTTGCCTGTTGTTCAGGAAGCCCTCTTGCCACCACTGGTCAGACTACCCAAAGCATGCTGAATAAATCAGAGCAGAAATCAGTATTTTGGGGTTTTCTAATATTAATATGGTATCATTAAAAAATTGCATAACTGGACTAAGACTCTTCTTCCTAGAAGATAATTCTTACTCCACATAACTACTGTCCTTCTAAGTACTGCAGTCATTTTTGTTTGGGTAAGGTGCTCAGAGGAGTCCAAAAAATATCTAGATATATGGTGGCTGAGGTGACCTCTCTTCAAGCAGGAAAAATACCCTGGAAGTCTAAGCAGATTGGAGACTCTCCCTGCTACAAAAGAGATTTGATGACATTGAAGTGTCATTGATACTTTACTGCAATTAATATTTCATTTAAAGATGATTTAACCTTCTTGAATATGGCAAAATATTAGTGACAACAAACTGAAGGTCCCATCAGGTATTGCTGAAGTACTGATAGACTGCAAAAAGAGTATAAATGGCTGATGCAAAATTATTTACTGTATTCAAGACTGAAACAAGACAGAGTAATATCCAGGAGCTATGAGAAAGCCAAATAAGTGGGCAGCAAATTAAATCTTTTTAAATAGGGTGTAAGTCATGTTACTGATGACCAGTACTAAGACTGTTGGGTTCTAAATTAAAAGTAACTACTCCAGGCAGAGCAGGAGAAGAAAAACATCAAAGCTGCAGCTTTGTATAAAAGTGCAGTAATATATATAAGAAATGGAATAGCAAGCAGCACTGGAAGTATAATGCCATGGCTTAAATCAGTATTTTGTCTTCATCTGAATTAGAATTGAAGGTACTGTTACTCTTTGAAAGTGTAATTGCAGAAATTGTAGTGTGGACCTCTATCATTCTGTGGAAGAAAATGAGTTGTGAGCATTGGCTTTGGTATGAGTGGCACAAGAAATGCCTTCGAATGAAGGAGATTAGAAGTTCAGGATGTTTTAATAGTTCAGTAGGGAAGAACACAGAAGGGATATAAGAAAATGCTGTATTTTTTTAGAGGGAATATTGAACATTCTTTATATTTATTAAATTTCTCTTGATTATATATAATACTGGCATTTTTAAAACTGAAAGCCAGGAACGGGGACTTATCTTTTGTATGACATGTGTCAGAAGTTACCTGGTGAACCTGATTACTTGCCTTAAAAATACTGCTTGGCCAACCCTTCAGAGATCTGAATTTGCTGTAGTTAAATTTTCTAAGGAATATTTGTGAGAACTTAAACCTGTGAGGTTCAGGCCTTCTCAGAGTTGTCTTTCCATGCTCTCAAGGTCCTAGTAAACCCTTTTCCGAGAGCACGCAGGAGATTCCCATGCTCTTGGTTCATTGGATTTAAAAAGGAGTAGCATGAGGGTCTTGTTCCAGCAAAACAGGACAAAAAATGATGAGTATGAGAAGGAAATGAATGAATGATTTCCTCTGCAGTTTCAAATTAATGTCAGTTACCTAAGTACAAATATCAGGTTATCTGGTTTTTTAAATTTTTTTCCCAACCTCAGCTTAAGTCCTGTGTGTTCTTTAATGAATATAAATCCGTGATCCTCACCTTGTGTTTCATTCATGGTATTGAAATGGTCTAATATGCTTGCCCATTATGTTTTTTTCTAACATTAATAAATATTGATTATGCTATTAATTATTATGAATAAGTGGAACCCAAAGATATTACAGACTAATCATATACAATAAAGTTTCCAATGAAGAAATACTCTGTATAAGAATACTGAGTGTTGTGAGTGGCATGAAGACAAAAGATAGACATTCAGTTTCTACAGAGGGAATGAGGATCAAGTTGGTAGAACAGGCTGCTTGGCTGGGAAGTGGATGAGTTCTTCCTTTGCTTGCTACAGTTGCAAAAATAGAGAAAAATTAATTTGCTCCTCAAACTCAAAGCCCCAGGATTGTAACAAATTAAAAAATGCAGGAATCTTTTACTCTGTCTTTCTATGGGTTTTGCTTCAATGATACTGTTTCCAAGAGAAAAAAAAATAACTTAAACCATAGGAAAAAAACTGTTTCACTGCATGTGTACAGCCCTTTTTTAAGCCCTTGAGAAAATTTTGAAAGGTACTAGAAAAAGTAGTTTTGCCAAAAATGTCCCTTTATTGTGCTGTTGAAGGCTGCTGAACTTTTTAGCTGGAAACAAGTTGTTACTAGAGCTGGAGCCCTTTGGGTGCAAACAAAGTGTGGGGTTGGTTTGGTTTTGTCTGCTGTATCTGAAATCCCAGTTTGCAATTCAGCATCCAGTCTAGAGGGTGAACTGTGTCCCAGCTAGTCCCAGTTACTGCTTCAGAATTTCAGACTAATCCTTCTGGAAACTTCCCTGCCCAGTTCATTTAAATCAATAAATTTTATATCATTAGACATGTTGAAATCCTAAGCCAGAGACAGTTTTGGATTTAAGGGACCCACTTGTTTTGGGTTTGTTTTTTTAATTAACACTTATTTAGAAAATAACAAGAAATAACAAATAGTTATCTTTTTTTCTAGAATTAAAATCTAAAAATACTTGCTTATAGTTTATGTGTCTTAAATTCTCAATACTACAGGAAAAGTAATACAAGGTTTTGGCTAGTTTTAAAAACCAACCAACCAAAGAAACAGAGAAAAAAAAACACATACTTTTTATTTATGGAAACTAGGAGGTGAGTGTTTGAAGGTTTTTTTATTTTCCTGAGTAAAACTAATGTTAATGAAGAGGAGGAGTGGTCGGGTGGCTTGGCAGCCAAAAAAGCTCAACCCACCACAATTTGTAAGGTGGGCTTTCCATGAATGGGAGCACATACAATTGGGAATTACTTAGAAAAATCTGTGAGCAGCTGGTAAATGTTCAGAGAGGCTTTGTCTGGTTCCTGACTCTACTGCCAGGAAAGGTAGAGGCCAGAATGTGTTTAGTTTGTGGAAGGAAAGTTAACAGCTCCTGTAGGTTTGGATGGATGTGGGTATTTCTTCATCTTTATCCCATTTTCATTTAGATTCTTTGTGTTTTGCTACATTTTAGGCATATGATGGAACACCTTCGAAGGCCAAGAAGAAAAATCTCAACTCTTACTCACCAACAACAGGAACACGTGAAATGAGTCCATTTTCCTCTCCTGTGAGTCATACTGCACAAAATCTCAGGAATCACCCATCAAATGGTGAGTTGAACATTCTGTCTTTCTTATGGCAACATTTTTCTGGTTATTGGCTTGATTTAGTAACTTGGGTCTCATGCAGGATGTTCGATTTCTTTTTTCCTCTTGAAGAATTTTAATCTCTTTTGGAAAAGCTGATGTTGGTTTTTAAAGTGTGAATCTTTTCAGTATAAATCTTGGGAGTGTTTCTGAAACAACTTAGTTATGAAACAAGTTTTGTTTTCTGTTTATAATACACAGCTGAGGTCTGGAATCTCTCTTAGCCAGGAGAGCTGGACAGAAAAGATGTGTGTAGTTGATGCATGTTTAATTTTGTGGCCTTTGGAGAACTATGTTGAGATTTGCAATGCAAGTCCTGGTTTATGTACCTCCAGTTTTCTGGTAGCAAAAGCTTCCATGTAATGTAGCATTTTTTTTTTCACTATTTTTACCTAGATTTTATCAAATGAAAGCTAAAAGGGAAGTTCAGGAAGGTCGATTAGTTTAACTCTGCTGCTTTGCATTCTTTTACATAGTTTTTTGCTATTATTTCTCATGCTAAAAAAAAATAAAAGCCTTACTACTTATTTTTAATTAATCTAACATGACACTGAATGTCATCAGCTCTCAGAAAACTCACCTTTTAAGAATTACAGTATTTCCATCTTGCATAAGGATATATGTCCACTTAATCACACAGTCACAGTTTTTGATACAACCTATGACTGATCAAGAAGTATATTTTCAGTAGACTAACTTGTTTTTATGGTTTTATAGGTTGTGGTCTTCTGAAGTGTTAAGAAACCATTAGGTAACCTGCTGTGACTTTTTAATATTAAAAAAAAAATACATAGAGCTTTCTTGTCACCTTTCCCATCTAGAGGCCAAGAGCTTTTATTTCCTTGCAGTACAATGTTTAAGACTTGATTTGAAGGCTTCAAATAATATAAAAAAAAAAAAAAATCCATCACTTTCTTGTTCAATTTACCTTTCACTATTAAAAAACAAAAATTCTCCTGTCTGATTTTGAATTTGTCTGCCTTTAATTTTCAGCCATCAGTTCTTGTTATGCCTTTTTGTTGGGTTAAAGAGATTTTTATGCCCCATATATTTTGGAATTTATGTGCAGTAATTGAGGTCTCACTAACATTCATGAATGATGATGAGTAGAAATATTCTGAGCAGGATAGAATAACCACTGTTTGAAATTTATCTAGATGTCTGCAGATTTTTGCACTGGTTATTGTACCATATGCTCTCACGATGGATCAGCAAAAGTGGATTTTTCCTCCAAGAAAAACAGGGGTTTTTAAAATTATTTTTTTTAAGAGTATGATCAAGAATTTTTGGGTTTCTGTCAAAGCTGACTGAACAAAAAATGAAAATTACTGGATGTCTTCAAGCTGAAGATACTACAGTCTGTGTGCATTACATCCCTTTTCCTTATTAAAAATAGCAGAGTACCTGTGGAAGCATAGAAGGCCTCTATGTGGAGGTTTTGTTTGTTGGTTTTTTTTTTCCTAAATAGTAGTCGTGCTAGGAGACTAGACAGAAGTAGCTATATCCTAATTTTTTATTGTGCTGCCAGTCTTCATTATGAATCAGCTTTGTGTCCTTGTTGCCTGTTTGTCAAACAGTTTTAACACCATCGAGTTCCTCACGAGTGCTTGCTGCCAGTCAGCATGTTCACAGCTTTCCTACCAAGTTCTCTGCTGGTTCCAGTTCTCCCCAGAATGCTGGTTCTTCTCTGCCAGTGCAAGGCTTTTAAATTGGGCATTTGCCCCTGGAACTAATACTGAAATGCCTGTTTCAGTCGTTGACATTCCAAAAAGCCTTCAGAGGAAGAATTAAACTAATTTCTCCCCTTTCTTTCATGAGTGATAACATCTCTCAACTAGCTGTACAAACTGGGTGTATTGAAAGGACCTGTATTTTAGAACACCCTTTCCTTCACAAAATTTAAGATATATGCAGTTGATGTGTGTTTAATTTTATGACCTGCTGAGAACTGTGTTGGCATTTGCAATGAAAGGTCTGGTTTGGGTACTTCCCAGTTTGGGATGGGGAGAGTGAGTCAGAAAGTAACATCTTTGCCACAGTGCCTACCCTGTTGAGTGAACAATTCCTCCTCAAAACTAACAGCTTTTTCTTGATTCCTAAAAAGGTGATTATTTGTCATGGTGGGCATCTCCACACTCTCACTTCACATCCAGAAATCTTTAGTGTCATTTAACCAGTGCTTTAGAGAGTTGACCCCTGCTTTCTTAAAAATATAAACAGTTTCTGTGTGGAATTATTTTCCTCTTCAACAAAGTCGCTTAAAGCATTGTCTGGAGTATTCCCACAGATATCCCAGACTATGTGCTGAATTTTCTCCTTGGAGTTTAAAACAAGTTGGACACCAATTTAACCCCATTATTTTCCAACTTCTTTCTTACTGTGAGAAGCACCTCTTCCAGTGGGCAGCATTCTGACTTTGTTAAGGAGCTTATGCCTTTGACATGTAATTCTACCTATTCTTTTTTTTCTACAGAGATAAAGTATTTTCAAAATATTCCCAGGTCACATGTCTGTGTTTTGTCATGAGGTAGCATCCTGCATTCTGCCCCAGAATGGAGCAGTAAGTGGCCAGATTCAAGTGAAGGGACTGGATGTTACCATACCTAGCTGCTGCTGAATAGCAGATCCATCACCCAGATGCTCCAGCACCTCAGTGCCAGTCTTCTGCTGTGGTACCCAAAACTGAACCCAGTCCTTAAGCTGTGGCCTCCCCAGTGCCAAATCCAGGGGCCGTATTAAGTGTGGGCATAGGGGAACATTCTTTTTGCCTATTAAAAAGATGATGATGTGATCACATCTGACATTGAGATGGATAATTATTCCGTAATTATCAGTATTTAGTATTTATTTGTCAGTATTAGTCTTTATTTATTCAGTAATTACTCTGTGACCAATATGTAAGAAAACAGAATGGAAAATACTCCAGAATTAATGCAAAGTCCTCAAAGTGGCATGGATCTATCTCACTGAGGAGACAGCTGGGAATTACCTGTGTTATCAACATGGCTTTCTTTTGCATAGCAGTGTGGAGGAGTGCCTCAAAAAAGGCTAAATACCTACAGAATGGTAAGATTGTGCAAAAGTAACATTTATTTTAGGAGAAGACGTGAACAAACCCAGTTACAAGATAATGTGTCTCTATGATATTATCATCTGTACATCCTATTGGGCTGCCTGGTAATTCATATATTGCCTAACTCCCCAAAAATCTCACAACCCATTTATGACATAGATTTCTAAAATAACAGAATATTCAGTCTTCTCATCATTGTTGGCTAACATATTTTTAAGATTTATTTTAAATAATTTCTTCTCATCATTGTTGGCTAAAATATTTTTAAGATTTATTTTAAGTCATCATTTTATCCAAATCAATCCAGGGCTCTGACATTCCATAGGACTGGTCTAAAAGTAGTATCTGTTTGATAATTGATAACTGATTTAAGTGCAAGTTCCATGAGTACTTAGATTTAAAATTAAATCTTTTGGGGTCTTAACATTTAGCTACTGTAGTGGAAGAGCTTAAATTTTTATAGCACCTTGTCATTCTGAGGTATTTCTAAATGTTCTACAAAATATTAAAATTAAAAGTTAATTTATCCTTGAGTGCTGATACTTGCATGTAATAATTTAGATCTAGCAAGAAGAAATCAAAGTGTTTAATGCTTTGTGTGGCCTCTCTTTTTTAGTTTGATGTCAGAAGGGAGATGTATTACAGTGAAACGTGAAAAGCTCCTCGTGCCAGAGGGTCTGCTCTAGGATCAATGCATTTGTTAAGGCCACAGTAAAGACCTGTTGTAGTTTCCTCCAACTTATAGAATCATTTAGATTGGAAGAGGCCTTTAAGGTCATTGAGTCCAACCATTCCCCAGCACTGCCAGGTCCCCACTGCCCCGTGTCCCTCACACCACATCTCCACGGCTTGGAAACCCCTCCAGGGGTGGGGACTCCACCACTGCCCTGGGCAGCCTGGCACAGCCCTGGGCAACCCTCCAGGGCAAGAAATTGTTCCTCAGGGACAACCTCAACCTCCCCTGGGGCAACTTGAGGCCGTTTCCTCTTGTCCTGTCCCTTGTCCCTTGGGAGCAGAGCCCGACGCCCCCCTGGCTCCAGGCTCCTGTCAGGAGCTGTGCAGAGCCAGAAGGTCTCCCCTGAGCCTCCTTTGCTCCAGGCTCAGCACCCCCAGCTCCCTCAGCTGCTCCTCCCCACACTTGGGCTCTAGCCCCTTCCCCAGCAGCTTTGTTACCCTTCTCTGGCCACGCTCCAGCCCCTCTTGTGGTCAGGGGATTAGAGAGTTATAATCTGAAACAAGAATCTTTCACTTGAAGGTGAGCTTTACCTGCAATAACAGCTCTTCAGTACAAAGCATTTGTATGTATCTGTTGGAGGCAAGGTAGAGGCAGCTAATGGGATAAAAAGCTCCTGAGCAGAACAGTGTGAGAATTATGCTAAATCCCAGTTATTAATACCATAAACCCAAGGTTTCCACAAATAGAAAAGTAACATGAATTGATGATAGGTCGAATGACAATTCCAGTGAACTCGTGTGTTTCATTACCAGGGCATCTGTCCTGCTTTGTGGGTTTTGTTTGGGTTTTTTCTCTTCCTAAAAGATCATTTAACAGTCGAGATTCATACCAACACCTTTTTTCATGGGCTTCAGATGCTCAATATATTATTTTCACCTTTATTGTTCCTTTTCTTTCTGGTGAATCTCTCAGGGGATGGAACCAAGGAGAGCGATTTGGAAAGCAAGTCACCCAGAAGAGGGCAGCCTCCTTCAGAGCAGGCTAAGTAAGTGTCTCCAGGGCACCGTGGGTGTCCTGCCCTGCTTTTTACTTACAGAAGATTAATATTTCACACAGAATTAAATTAATAGTGATTATTTTTTAATACTTCTCATTCCACAGGGCTGGATAGACAAAGGCATTGAACAGTGGGCTTGCAGTTACAGGTTAAGTCAGGGTTTGCAATACAGCTGTCTCACTGGTAGTGCAGGGCACGTGGCACTGCCAGTTACAGGAGTCACACTACTCAAAGGAAAATACATTTTGCCTTTGCAGACTTTTCTGAAAGTGTCCATTCTTCACCTGATTTTTGGAAGCATTAACTGCCAAAGATACAGGGCCAGTAATGAAGGACAATTTTGATCACAAACTAGCCACTGATAACTGGTGAAACTTTGTTTGCTTTGCAGAATCGTTTAAAATTTTTCTCTCTTCTGTCACAATCTTATTTTAGGCTATAAGTTTCCTGATATTAATGGACTTTGGGCAGTGCCCAGTAGGTAAAGCACTTAAGTGAATGTTGCAGGTGAAATATCTGATAAACTGCCCTCTTTAAAAGTTTAAAACTTTAAACTTTTTTTAAAGTTGATAGATGTAAGGAAGCAGAAGTGATAATATGTGTTAAAAGTGAGGCTGCTGGTGTCTCATGTTGTTAGTATGGCTTCATCTTTGGTTTTGAAAAACAAATGTGATTGTTTGTAACATTGCCATAGGTCAGCTGAAAAGTGAACTGAAATTTTCTGTGCCGAAAGTGAGGTGTCTGGCTAAAAATGTTGTATTTTTCAGTCAAAACAAACACATCCATCCCTAAGAGTTAGGCAAAAGAAATGTTTGTTTCATCTGTGAGAGAACTTGTTGAAGAGGTGGAAGGCTCTGTGTGTTGGATTGTATCAGGGATGGCTTTCATCTTTATGGGAAGTTACCCAATTTGGAAATCCTGGAAGTTATGAAGTTTGTGAATATGGAAGTGAAACTCAGTTAAAACTCAGTAAAACTAGTTAGTGTTCATGCTTTAGTGTAGCTAAAGATCTGAAAGCTTCCTTCCTCAATGAGCATATTCTTACTTCTTGCCACTAATACAATATTAACCTAGATAGTCCTCCATCCACTTCCCTCCTTTTTACTCAACTAAAGTTGCATTCACCAGAGACTCTTCTGATCTGTTATTAGCAAAATTTCAAAAAAGTAATTCTTTATTCTCTTTCTTCATCAACACTGTCTGCATTTTTTGTTCTTGAAATCTTACCCTGGTGTGTTGTCCTGCCTTTTTAGGTGATGCTTCATCTTGCCTACTGGTGGAATCTTGATGTATATCTTTGACACCTCTGAGAAAGAGAAAGTTTCATTCAGAGCTCAGCATCAACATGGCTATACCACATTTCCTCTTCTCTACAATGTTACACATAATTATTTTTATAATTCATTGTATTGTGACTGTCCTGTATTTCATCCAGGCCTGGTGCCTGCACGTGCAACTCAAACTGTTGTGTAAATTCTCCTGTCTGTACCTCTGGCACACTCTCTCTCCAAAATCTAAGGTGTGTTTCCTCTTCCCCCACTTTGTCACTAAGAGCTCACCTCAGTTTCATGCAAACTTCTACACATTCCCATTGCCCATGTTTGTTTTTTTTTTTACTAACAAATAATATTTCTGATATTTATTCAGCTAAATATTATGTTTCCTACAGCTGAAGTTGAAGCTTTTCCTTTTGATTATTATACTTGCACTCTCAATGTGTTTGTTGGGATTTTTTCTTGTAAGGAGTGCTTTCTCCCACCAATCTCTTGAAATGTCCTCCTTGTAGGACAGAGTCTTCTAAGTGATGCAGCTTGACAGACAGTAGAATTGTTTGGATGGCATGTTGCATAGTAAAAAGTAAAACCTTACAATTCTGCCAGTGGAAAGCTGCAAACTGATTAATTGGGTGGGTTTTGTGGTTCAGTAAAACCCTTGGTCAACACATACAGGCTTTTTTCTTTGTGTTAGTAACCTTGAATTGCAGAACAGTTGGAGGATTCATGGGCTTCATTGACATGTAAATGTTTGCAGTCAAGAATTCAGTATGTTTTAAAAAAATAGCAAGATTTGCAGAAGACTAACAGTTAGTGACATGCCACTAAAACACCTTTATAAGCTAACACCTATGCAGGAATATTTATATGAACTTCCACACACTTTATTTTTACAGGTGGAAAATTTCTTGTACAATACACTGGCATTAGCATTTTCTTTTCCTGTGTCAGAATAGAAGTGACAAGTTTTTCTCATGCTGTAGTTCTGCTTCTAAATTTGGAGGTTCTTCTAAGGGTGATTCTCCCTTCTGTGGAAGAAAAGAGTTTATAGATTATTTCTCTGTTGGCTCCATTTGATTTGCATTTTTAAATGGTTCAAAGAGAAAGTAACCTAAACATTCATTGCAGGATTTTTTCAATATTCAATGCAAATCCTGAATTGTGTGTTAAAGTTTGCCATTTAGAGCTAATCTGATTGTATATGATGTTATTTTTTATTGTGAAACCTATTAAACTGAAAGCTGACCCTCTTTACACTGGTAGTAAAATATTTGTGGCTTGAAAGGGAAGGTAGTACAAGAAAGTTGAATAAACAACATCATTTGATGTTGTCCCTGTGGGGCTTTTTTAACTTCTTATGTTTCCTATCACCACAAGCATTGTTGTACAGTCTTAACAGTCCATGGGTTAGGGGAGCTCATCTT